GGTGTACAGTTCTTTTCATGTGTTGCTGTATTCGGTTTGCCAGTATTTTGTTGAGGAATTTTGCATGTATGTTCATCAGCAATATTGGCCTGTAACTTTCCTTTTTTGTGTTGTACTTGTCTGGTTTTGGGATCAAGGTGATGTTGGTCTGATAGAATGTGTTAGGAAGCATCCATCTTCTTCAGTTTTTCAGAATCGTTTGGCAAGGATAGGTACTAAATCTGCTTTGAATGTTTGGTAGAATTCTCCAGAGAAGCCATCTGGTCCTGGACTTTTGTTTTTGGGAGGTTTTGGTTGCTGTTTCAATCTCTGTACTTGTGATTGATCTATTCAGATTCTCTGTTTCTTCTTGATTCAGTTTTGGGAGGTTGTGTGAGTCTAGGTGTTCCTCCATTTTTAATAGGTTATTGAATTAGTGAGCTTATAGTTTTTCATAGTATTCTCTTATAATATTTTGTATTTCTGCAGTATCTGTTGTAATTTCTCCTCTTTCATTTCTCCTTTTATTTATTTGAGCCTTCTCTCTTTTTTTCTTGGTAAGTATGGCTGAGGGTTTGTCAGTTTTGTTTATCTTCTCAAAGAACCCACTGGATTTCTTTTTCTGCTCGTTCATTGTTAGTATATAGAAATGCAACTGATTTTTTAAAATTGATTTTGTACTGTTATTAATCTTATTAAACTCTTATTAATCTTTTCTACTGTTTTTATAGTCTCTATTTCTGCTCTAATTTTTATTATTTCCCTCCTTCTGCTGACTTTGGGCTTTGTTCTTCTTTTTCTAGCTCTGTTAGGTGTGTTTTAAGATTACTTATTTGAGATTTTTCTTGATTGTTGAAGTGGGCCTGTATTTCTATTAATTTCCCTCTTATGACCACTTTTGCTGCATCCCATAAGACTTGGTATGTTGTATTTTCATTTTTATTTGTCTCCAGGTATTTTTTAATTTCCCTTTTGATTTCTTCAGTGATCCAGTGGTGGTTCAGTAGCATGTTGTTTAGTCTCCACATACTTCTGACTTTCCCAGTTTTGTTCTTGTGGTTGATTTCTAGCTTCAATAGTGTTGTGGTCAGAAAAGATGGTTGGGATGATTTCAATCTTCTTGGATATATTGGGGCTTCCCTTGTTACCCAACATATGCTCTATATTTCAGAATGTTCCATGGGCACGTGAGAAGAATGTATGTTCTGCTGTTTTGGGATAGAATGCTCTCTATATATCTATTAAGTTCGTCTGGTCAAGTGTTTTATATAAATCTCCTGTTTCCTTGTTGATGTGTTGTCTGGATGATCTATCCATTGAAATAAGTGAGGTGTTGAGCTCCCTTACTGTGATTGTGTGGCTGTTAATTTCTTCCTTTAGGCCTGTTAATAATTGCTTTATGTACTTTGGTGCCCCTGTGTTAGGTGCATATGCATTAGTAAGTGTTATGTCCTCTTGGTGGAATGTCCCTTTTGTCATTATATACTGCCTCTCTTTGTCTCTCATTGTCTCTTTTAACTTGAAGTCTGCTTTATCTGAGAAAAGTATGACAACACCTGCTTTCTTTTGTTGATCATTAGCTTGGGGTATTGTCTTCCATCCCTTCACTCTAAGCCTATGCTTGTCTTTCAAGCTGAGGTGCATTTTCTGGAGGCAGCATATTGTTAGGTCTTGTTTTTTAACCCATTCAGCTACTCTGTGTCTTTTGATTGGAGAATTCAACCCATTTACATTTAGAGTGATTATTGCTATATGAGGGCTTAGTGTTGCCATTTTATGTCTTGTTTTCTGGTTGTTCTATGTTTCCACTGTTTCTCTTTCTCTGTATTGCTGACTGCCATTTCATTTTGGTGGTTTTCTGAGGAAGATTTCTCAGTTTTCTGTCTTTTTGTGAATTGTGGCTCTGCTCTGATTTTTTGTTTAGTGGTTACTGTGAGGATTGTATGAAAGATACTGGAGATGAGATAGTCCATTTTCTTATAGCCTCTTCTCTCCATTAACCTAAGTAGGTTCCTTCCCTTTCCTCTCCTTTTCTGAGTAATTGCTGTTGCAAATTGTTCTGTTTTGAATTTTGTGTGTGTGTGGCTGAGTTGAAGTGTTTATCGTTATGTTTGATGCTTTCTTTCGGTTTCTCTTTTAAGTTGTAATTGATTCTTTGCCTCCCTACTTCTGGTTGAGAGCTGCAGGTTTCTGATCATGTCTCTCTGTTTGTCTCCTTGCTCAGAGCTCTGTAGACCTTTGCCTTTTTGTTGCCAGTGTGAGGGCATCTTTAATTATTTCTTGTAGGAGAGGTCTAGTGGCGATGAACTCCCTCAGCTTTTGTTTATCTGGGAAAGCTTTTATTTCTCCATTGTATCTGAAAGAAAGTTTTGCTGGATAGAGTAATCTTTGCTGAAAGTTTTTATCTTTCAGTATTTTGAATATATCATTTCATTCTCTCCTGACCTGTAGGGTTTCTGCCAAGAAATCTGCTGAAAGCCAGATAGGGTTTCCTTTGTAGGTTACTTTCTTCTGCCTTGCTGCTCCTAATATTCTTTCTTTATCCCAAACTTTTGCCATTTTTAGTATTATATGCTTTGGAGAGGGTCTTTTCACGTTGGACATTCGATTAATTTCATTAATCTGTAAATCTAAAACCATCCCCAGGTTTGGGAATCTCTCAGCAATTATTTCTTTGAACACTTCTCGACTCCTTTCTCCTTCGCTTCTCCCTGGAATACCTATAATCCTTATGTTGCTTTTCCTAATTGAGTCGGATGTTTCTCAAAGAATTCCTTCACTTTTTTTAAGTCTTACTTCTGTCTCCTTCTTCACCTGTAGAATTTCTGCATTTTTATCCTCAAGAAGACTAGTTCTTTCCACCATAAGATCAGTTGTATTTCTTAATGATTCTAGATTATTTTTTATTTCATTAATTGTGTTTTTCATATCCAGAATTTCTGCTTGATTTTTTTTTTTTTTTTTGAGGAAGATTAGCCCTGAGCTAACATCAGCTGCCAGTCCTCTTCTTTTTGCTGAGGAAGTCTGGCCCTGAGCTAACATCCGTGCCCATCTTCCTCTACTTTATATGTGAGATGCCTACCACAGCATGGCTTGCCAAGCGGTGCCATGTCTGCATCTGGGATCCAAACCGGTGAACTCTGGGCCACTGAAGCAGAATGTGCCCACTTAACTGCGGGGCCACAAGGCCGGCCCCCTTGATATTTTTTCTTTATGGTTTTCAATCTTTTTGGTGAAGACATTCATTTTATTGCTGAACTCCTTGAATTATCTTTCTGTGTTTTCTTGTAAGTCATTGAGTTTCCTTATAATGGCTATTTTGAATTCTCTGTCATTTAGGTTGTATATTTTTATATCTTGAGTGTTGCTTCCTTGAGTATTGTCATTTTTCTTCTGGTCTGAATTGTTGCTGCAGTTTCTCATGGTGTTTGACAAACTAATCTTTTGTCGGGGCATTTGTGGTATTCTTAGGATTCAGATTCCCTGTTACCTCTAGGGTGACACTGGAGCAGCGTTTCTGGCCCCACCCCATCTGCTGCAAGCTGTGCGGGTATTATGGGTGTTTACCCTAGCCTGTGGGGTGCGTTCAGGCACTTGTGTGGATTGTCCTTGTCGGGTGGGCTTACTCGCTGGGCTAGGGCCACTCTTTGGTGCCTCAGGGGCACTCTAAGCTTCCCCACCCCACCAGAAATTGATTACCAGTGGGCTCAAAGCTGCTGTGCCTATTCTCACAGCTGCCTGGGACACGTTCCCTCACACACACTCCGAGGAAGCGTTTGCCCCAGCACATAGATCTGCTGAGGTTTCTGTTTATGGTTTGCCATCCACGGGGCCTCTGTGCTTGGCGGGCAGGGCTTCCTCACTGGGACCTGAGCTACAGCTGCTCCTTGGCAGCATAGGGGTGCAGTTGGCTCCCCCTCCCCACTGGGACCACAAGCGTAGGCTAAGAGTTACCACCGCCTCCTCCTACGGTCACCCCAGTGCGTGCTCCCACTTTCCAGGGGCTTACACCAGCTTGGAAAGCGTTCATGTGCGTGCACAGGGCTACCAGGGGAGAGCAGGGCATGCTTACCTCTCTCTGCCATGTCCCATGGGGCCAGTCCATCCACCCTCAAATGTGCAGCTGTGTGTGTCTCTCAGGCGTCCTGTTGTGCTGTGTGGGCTTCCTCCATTGGTCAGTGAATGCCCATTTAGTTGTAGTTCAAAAGGGGGAGAGGTGAAGGAAACAGCTCACTCCACTGTGTTTCTGACATTACCCTGGAAACTAAAGTTTTAATACATCTTGCTAACTTTTTCCCCCGAGAATTCTGTGGATCTTTTCTTGACAGGCATTCTGGCAACATTGAGTGTTGTTTTGAAAAATTTTTCATAGTTTGATAGGTTTAAAAATGATATCTGAGGTTGAGTATTTTTATGTGCCCGCTGTGGGTCTTAACATGTATTTGCCCATTTAACTTTTTGACCTCATATTTTTCTTATGGAGTAATATAAGGTATTTATTTATGTGTTAAGGATGGTGACCATTTTTCTGTCATGGTACAAATGCTTTTTATCAAGTGTTTTAATTTTATTAATATTTTATATACTTTAGTTATATATTTTTATGTAGTTAATCTTAGATATTTTTCTTTGTCCTTACTAGCAGACCTGTTCTTTACCACCGCCACCAGTATCCCTGCAAAAAATAAAACACTGGTTATTTGATCATTATTCACCTGTTAAAAATCAGCATTTGTGTTGATATAAATCGTAAGGTTTAAGAGAATCATATTCAGTTAACATTTATTGAGAAGCACTTAAATGTCAGGTACTTTATATGTTCTCTATCTAGGCAATGACCATCGATCTTTTCTCTGAATACTGTAAATACATGTGAAAATATAGATGAATTAAATTATAGCGTTTAAAAAATTTGTAAGCAGTGTATTATTTTACTTTTGGTGTCTTTCATTGTAATTAACTGTGTAAATCTGTTTCGTGAAATATGATGTTTCCCTCCCCATTCCTTAATTGTAGAGGAAGAAAGTGTATCTTCTGGTTGCTATTGTGAATTGTGGACTACGGATCTGTAGAGAAAACAAACTGCACAGTCAGGAGTATTATCAACAGAATCTGAAGACTCTAAAAAATGCTCTTCAGGCTTGTCATGGATTTTTCTGGAGAAAATAATCTGTGAAATTATGTGAATAGAGACCATTATTCAAAACCATGGGGGAAAGAGAAAGAAGTCCAGATACTGATCGAGAAAGTAAGGCAGGCCGACACCGCTACTCTTACTGTTCATCTGATTTTGGAACTACTCCACAATCTTCTGCCCGGTCATCGCTGGTCAATTCCTCTTCACCTACTAGTATTAAGGGAAAAAATCCCAGAAGACAAATTTCAGATAGCCAAGTTCATCACCAAGGTAAGTCTTCTTTAAAAGAGTTTGCTAGATCTAGAAGACTCTTTTTTTTTTTTTTAAAGCAGATTAGCCCTGAGCTAACTATTGCCAATCTTCCTCTTTTTGCTGAGGAAGACTGGCCCTGAGCTAACATCCATGCCTGTCTTCCTCTACTTTATACATGGGACACCTACCACAGCATGGCTTTTGCCAAGTGGTGCCATGTCCACACCTGGGATCTGAACAGGCAAATCCTGGGCCGCTGAGAAGTGGAACATGTGCACTTAACCACTGCGCCACCAGGCTGACCCCTAGAAGACTCATTTTTTAGAAGATTTTTTATTTTTCTTTTTTCTCCCCAATGCCCCCTGGTACATAGTTGTGTGTTTTTAGTTGTGAGTCCTTCTAGTTGTGGCATGTGGGAGACTGCCTCAGTGTGGCTTGATGAGCAGTGCCACGTCTGTGCCCAGGATCCAAACCGGCAAAGCCACGGGCTGCTGCACCGGAGCACCCGAACTTAACCACTTGGCCACAGGGCCGGCCCATAGAAGACTCGTTTTGAGTGCTTGAGAGCTTTATGAATGAAACTCTTCTATTAGTATTAGTGCTGTGCTATTGGTGCTGTGTATTATCCTTTGTTATATTCAAAGTCATCCTATATACAGAAGAAAGCACTGTAACTAAGGCTTCTCATTTTGTTTTCTCTTCTTCCTAAATAAATGCTTGTCTTGGGGTTTCTGAGGTTTTATAAAGGTAAAAAGAATAAATCACAAAACATTTGTACCTTTCTTTGTCTCCATTTTAAAAAAGTAGTGAAAGGCACTGATATAAAGTGGTTAAGGGGTATTTCTGTAGATTGAGTAAAATTACTTCCCCTAGGTAATACAGTGCTTACTGCAAAAGTTCAAATTAAACCTAGAAATGGAATTTGGGACTCAGGACCACCAGTCTGTTTTCTGTTAAACTGTTCTATAATGGAAGCAAGATTAATCATTACAAATACATAATTTTTCTTACTAAAATGTTTTTAGTCTGGAACTAGGTATTTGATTAGGTAATGTTCTAGAAATCTCTTCTTCATCTTAATAAATCCCTGGTCAAGAAAACCCTGATATACTAAGTAACAAAATATGTAAGGGCTACAAGTACACCATAGAGAAATAAGCTAAGGTGAATAAGGTGATTATAGCATGGGTTAATAAATGCAGCACAGCTATAACAGCAGTAGCTTAGAATGGTGAGAGTTTAGGTTGCACAGCAGGGAGTGGTAAACTTGAGAGCTAAAAAGGAAAACAGTGGGCAGGTCATGAAACGCCTTGAATTGTATGCTAATATATTGACTGTTTCTGTGGGGGAATAGTTAGCTTTTGAAACGATTTAAGCAGGAGTGTAATTAAATTTGCCTTTATAAATTTTTACTTTGAAAAGTAATATTTGCTTTCTAAAAATCTACAAAGAATATATGTTCTTTTGAAAGCAGCCCTTTTGTGGACCCCTGGTCTGGCTTCCCAGGGATGTCCATACTTTTACCCATTGGGCACTTTTTTTTCTTTCGTAGGGAGCTGCAGGTTTTTTGGTCTCTTCCTCTAAGTCTGTCTCAGTGCAGGCCTCTTGTTTTGATTTTGTGGTTGAGAGCATGATCTGATATTAAAGTTTTGCTATATATTTAAGAATAAACAGACATTAGAGTTGAACCTTAGAAGTCCTATTGATTCCCAAGAAATAATTTACATATCTAGGGAATTATTGGTAGGAATACTTTAATTTTTTATTTCTTCCCCAGAAGCAGTTTAGGAGGCCACCCAATTAAGGAGTCAGAACTTCTTAAGCCTTATCTTATTTGAGAAGATAGTTGAGAAAAAGGTATGAAAAACAGTTTCAGCATCACCGAGAAAAATTTTAATTATCGTCTTCAGTTTGACTTGTACTGTTGTTTGCTTTGCATTGTCTTCTGAATTAAAGTCTGTGGCAGTTTGTCTATCTCAGATGAAGCAGTAGGATCAAACTGAAACCTTTCCTTAAGTGCTAAGTTAATTTCTCTGGGTTTAAGTTGCAGTCACTAGGGTAGGCTAAACTAAGGGAAGAACAAACGTGATTAAAATAGCATCTTGAACACTTGAACTTGTGGGATTGCATATTTGATAGTATATTCCTCCTCCTTTTTAGTTTTCAGCATATTTTATTATTTTTAAAAATGAAATTGGTGCTCTATGAGAAGTTATATGTATAATGATAAAATGTAATAATAGGTTATTCATGTTTGTGTATTACATATTTATATTTCTTGTTTTATCAGTAATAAAAACAACTTGAGTTTTTGGTAGATGCATAGTTTATCTTTACTGCATGTTTTTTAAATGAGTCATATTTTGTTTTTAATCTCTGAAGGAAGAAAAAAAGCAGTATTTTCCCACCCTCTTTTTGGTGGTGACTTTTACAAGGGGGCAATGAAGAATGATATACATGACAGTCAGTCATCTTTCTTCTTCTCACTCCTATTAGCACTATATTTCATCTTGATAGTTTTAAAAATGAAAATAAACATAGATGAAAGATGGGAGATATTTTTGAGTTCAAATTGTGTTCTTTTTTTTTTACTAGGTTACCTTTTCTATCTTTTTTTTTCTTTTTTAAAGATTGGCACCTGTGCTAACATCTGTTGCCAATCTTCGTTTTTTTCCCCCTTCTTCTCTCCAAAGCCCCCCAGGACATAGTTGTAGATTCTAGTTGTGAGTGCCTCTGGTTGTGTTGTGTGGGACTCCACCTCAGCATGGCCTGATGAGCGGTGCCATGTCCACACCCAGGATCCGAACCAGCAAAACCCTTGGCCACTGAAGCGGAGCACGCGAGCTTAACCACTCAGCCGTGGGGCTGGCCCTAAGAGTACCTTTAACGATCAGTTTGTAGTCATGCTAATAGAATGTGCTAAAAATAAATGTTCAGATTTTTAGGATGTCAAAAAGTTGATTGTAGAAGCCCTTTCTGTATGACTAAATAGTTGAAATATTAGTGGAAAATTTTTATCCCGATTCTCATATTATATAGGCTTTAAGTTTTCAAATAAAACAAGTTTCTGTTTATATGAAATTTTGTTTGCTGAGCAATGTAATTTTATACATAAAAATCGGATTTGGAACGATTGACATTCATCTTTATGTATAATCATTTTAATGTATAAAGTTTGTGTCATTCCAAGAGCTGAGTACATGTTCCATAATAGGATATAGATACCAAAACTCTGTTAACTGAGTATGTTGGGAAAGAATAAAATTGCAATGATGGATGCTTCATTTTAAAATTGAAGCAATGCTGTTCAGTGGAAATATAATACAAGTCAGAAATGCAAGCCACACATGTAATTTTATATTGTCTAGTAACCACATTAAAAAGAAAAACAGGTGAAATTAATTTGAATAATGTTTTATTTTACCCAACATATCCAAAATATTATCATTTCTAAATATAGTTAATAGAAAACATTGTGTATGGAATATTGTGTATTCTTCTTCTTTTTTTTTTTTTGAGGAAGATCAGCCCTGAGCTAACATCTGCCACCAGTCCTCCTCTTTTTGCTGAGGAGGACTGGCCCTGAGGTAACATCTGTGCCCATCTTCCTCTATTTTATGTGGGACGCCTGCCACAGCATGGCCTGACAAGCGGTGGCGTATGTCTGCAGCCGGGATCCGCAGCCGGGATCCAAAGCAGAATGTGCAACCTTAACCGCTGCTCCACTAGGCTGGCCCCTCTGCGTTACTTTTTTGAACTAAGTGTCCTTTTTGAAATCCAGTGTGTATTTCAGCGTTACAGCATATCTCAATTTGGACTGCCCACACTGCGGATTTCTCTGTAGCCACACGTGGCTCATGACTATTGTACTGGATAGCAGAGTTTCAAAGGTGCCAGTAGGTTTTCCCTCATTTCTTTTTATTATAACTTCCCTTCACGTATTCAAGCATTTACGGAGTAGGAATCCTAAATCAGTACACATTCAAAACAGCTTCTATAAAATCTTCCATCTTTTTAGTGAAACTTTGTAATGTTAAGTAATGAATATTACTTGTTATTCTTTTCTTGTTTACATAATGGAATCGGTATCCGTGGTTGGGAGATCAGTAGAGAAAGGTTGGATTTTCTAGTTTTTCTTCATTTTTTCTTTTTTCCTCTGGAATGTATCTCCTTCTTGAAAAAATGCAGTCACCTTGGAGATTAAAGTTCATTCTCAACTGTGGCAGACTTCCAGATGCCTCCTTTTTTTTTTCTTTTTTAATTTTGTGAGGAAGATTGGCCCTGAGCTAACATCTGTTGCCAATCTTCCTCTTTTTGCTTCAGGAAGGTTGTTGCTGAGGTAACATCTGTCTAAATCTTCCTCTGTTTTATGTGGAATGCTGTCACAGCGTGGCTTGATGAGCAGTGCTAGGTCAGTGCCTCAGATCCGAACCTGCAAACCCCAGGCCACCGAAACAGAATGTGCAAACTTAACCACTATGCCAGCCCCCAGATGCCTCTTTTAAAGGGCAGGTGCTCTGTATATTGAGGTCTAGGTTTCATACATAAAAAGAGAAAGATTCCAAATTTTTGAGAAATGTGATTTAATGTGTATACTTTAAAGATTTCATGTGCTTATATTTTTTAGAATGTAGTTTTTCGTTTTTATTTTGTTCTCAATTTATGTCAGATGTTTTTGATTTGAACATCACACAAAAGAAAGCCCGTGAGAAAGCATTTAGAATCACATCTGTACTGCTAAACTGGTTTCTGTTTTTAATCACTGATAAATGGGATGAAGTTCTTATTACTGATGGCATATTTGCGTAGAAGCGTGTTTCTTATGTGCATACTTCGTTTAATCCTTACAACAACCTTGTTGTATAGATGGTGTATCCTCGTTCTATGGGTAGGGAAAATAGACCTGGAATAGCATAGTCGAATTGCCCAAGGAGTTACTAACTGGAAGTCTGAGTCCCAAACGTGAATCTTCTCACTGTACAACATGTTGTCATCCTGTTTCCCCAAATAAAGAAAAAGTGTTCTAATTAATTTAGAGAAAACATACATTTCCACATTTCAAATAATGATCCCAAATATCTTGGCACAGATGGCTTGAATATTACAATGTTTTCTCCAGTGTTTATTAGGCCACATGCTAATGCTGCCCGTGTTTGAATTCTGGCTTGCCATCTTATCTGTAAAGTTGAAAATGGTAGTGCCTGGGGCCGGCTGCATGGCCGAGTGGTTAAGTCTGTGCGCTCTTCTTCGGTGGTCCAGGGTTTTGCCAGTTTGGATACTGGGTATGGACATGGGACCACTCATCAGGCCATGCTGGGGTGGTGTCCCACGTAGCACAACCAGAGGACCTACAACTAGAATATACACCTGTGTACCGGGGGGCTTTAGAGAGAAAAAGAAGGGAAAAAAAAGAAGATTGGCAACAGATGTTAGCTCAGGTGCCAATGTTTAAAAAAAACAGTAAAGCCTGATACTGCCATCTTTTAAAGCAATGTAAAATAATTCCCTGTAAACTACTGGCATGTCATTTTGATGGATAAGAATATTCTTGACCTTTCTTAAAATATTCCTAGTCTTTCTTAAGAAAAACATTATATCAAGAGCTTTAAATAAAACCTGCTATTTAACTAAAGTTAGTAAAATCATTTTTTAAGGAACAAAATATCTAAAGGATCCACTTGTGTTAGGATGAATAAATAATACTGCGTTTGGTACAGCTTTCACTGTACATTATTACTGTTTCTCTTTTAGCCCCTAGGAAACCAAGCCCTAAGGGCCCACCCAAAAGAAAGGGAGTCCGAGTGGGATTTCGCTCCCAGAGCCTCAATAGGGAGCCGCTTCGGAAAGATACTGATCTTGTTACAAAACGGGTTCTTTCTGCAAGACTGCTAAAAATCACTGAATTGCAGAATGAGGTAACTGAACTCCAGGTCAAGTTAGCTGAGCTGCTAAAAGAAAATAAAGCTTTGAAAAGGCTTCAGTACAGACAGGAGAAAGCCCTGAATAAATTTGAAGACACAGAAAATGAAATCTCACAACTTATTGCTCGTCATAACAATGAGATGACAGCACTGAAAGAGCGCTTAAGAAAATCTCAAGAGAAAGAACGGGCAACTGAGAAAAGGGTGAAAGATACAGAAGGTGAACTATCTAGGACCAAATTTTCCTTACAGAAACTGAAAAAGATCTCTGAAGCTAGACACCTACCTGAACGAGATGACTTGGCAAAGAAACTAGTTTCAGCAGAGTTAAAATTAGATGACACCGAAAGAAGAATTAAGGTAAAATTTCTACAGCTTCTAGTTGTGCTTTTTTGCATTGTTTTTCATTGGGCATTTAATGTGCTCTGTTAAGACTGCTTATTGCAGTTCAGCATTTTCTTGGAAATTAAAACCGTTCTTTTTCGGATTATCTTTGTGAGTAAGAGATTAGGAAAAATTTAAGATTGTATATTTAAGAGCAAGATGCAACAGCTTGTATGCCTTAATGGGCTACATGTTAATGGATGAGTGTTTAATTTCGTGGAGCTTAGTCATTTTGGGGAAGTATACTATTTGATTATCTGATTGTTTCTCTAAAATTGAAAATACTATAGTAACTATATAAAACTGACATTTTGGGGCCATCGTGTAAGAAATGCCACATGAACAATACTTTCTGTTTTTATTTCTTTGAACATTTGTGAAAGGCATCTTTTGGGGCAGGGTGTACCCCTACTCCCTAGAATAAAAACTGCTATGAGAGGTGGGTGGGAGAAAGTTGAATTACTACTTTGAGAATACAACAGATCTTTTAAAACTTTATTTTGCTTGAAACGAGAGAGGAAAAGAGTACCAGCCCATGACTGTTACATAGGGAACTTATGTTAGGTGCTACCTGCTGAATATCTATACATCAAACAGAAGTCCTGAGCCAGCGCTTAGAATTGCTTAAAGTTAGCAAGTAGTTTGGAAAGGAAAGTAGAGAAAAAGTGTGGGAATGATGCCTGCTGTGAAAGCTCTCTGAGCAAGGGAAAGTCAGAACTAGAAATTAATAAGCTTTCTGCAGTGTATTAACTAGGTGTTTTTAATACATGGTTTATTATAGTACTTCTTAGTCTGGATTATATACCATGCTCCATATGTCAATGCCATGCCCAGGGGCAGTCGCTTGTTTAATGCAGTGTACATCAGTGGCCAGAAAAAGTGCCTAGCTTATTCTCTAAAATTAGCAATCCTTATCTTCGTTTCAGTACACTGAAGATATCCTATTGTATAGGCTCCACCAGTGATCAACTCAAATTGCAGAGCAAACATGTGGAAACTTTTTTTTAAGGGCCTGTGAGGTGGGGTGGAGGTAGGGGCTGGAAGCAGTTATTGTCGTAAACAACAAATAGCTGACATTTAAATTATTTTTAAAGGAATGTATTAAATGTGCCACATGGTGGATTTTTAAATTAGGAACCAAAGGCACAGAATGCTAATTAATAAGAACAATTAAAAAAACCCTCTTTATGTCTTTATATAAAAATAGAACATGGAATTGCAGTGCGTCCACACACACACATACACACTATTTACTGTGCTTCTCTCTTCTAGCCAGTTATGAAGGGGGTTGATGGAGTGATGGGAGAGGGAGGAGAAAACAGAAAGAAGGAAAAACAGAATAAGTCTGTGGATTTTAAGTTGTAGATGGAGGTAAATTATGTGGCTGCCCACTTGGGAGCATGAAAATCAGCAATCTAATACAAAGTCTTTGAAATACTTGTTAACTGTTTAGTGTCCTCAATTCTTCTTTTTCTTACTTTTTAAAAAGGCTTTTTAACTTTTTATTTTGAGTTAATTGTAGATTGACATGCATTTGTAAGAAAATTATATAGAGAGACCCCATATGCCCTTCATTCAGTTTCCCCAGTGGTAACGTATTGCATAACTAGAATATAATTTTACAACCAGGAAATTGGTTGTGCTACATTGATGCAATCCATTAACCTTATTCAGATTTCACCAGTTTTATATATGTGCACTTGTGTTTGTGTGTGTGTATGTTTAGTTCTATGCAATTTTATCACATTTGTAGATTCATGTGACCACCACCATAGTCAAGATGCAGAACAGTTCCATCACAAGGATCCCTTGTGTTACCAACTTTTATAGGCACAGCTACCTTCCTGCCTTCCCCGTCTCTAACCTGTGGCATCCAGTCATCTGTTCACCATTTCTATAATTTTATCATTTTAAGAACGTTATAGGGGCCGGCCTGGTAGCGCAGTGGTTAAGTGAGCACGCTCCGCTTCTCGGCGGCCCAGGGTCTGCCGGTTTGGATCCCGGGTGCGGACATGGCACTGCTTGGCAAGCCATGCTGTGGTAGGCTTCCCACATATAAAGTAGAAGAAGATGGGCACGCATGTTAGCTCAGGGCCAGGCTTCCTCAGCAAAAAAAGGAGGACTGACAGTAGTTAGCTCAGGGCTAATCTTCCTCAAAAAAAAGAACGTTATATAAATAGAATCATGCAGTATTTAACCTTCTGAGTTTAGCAGATTTCATTCTTTTCTTGAGCTCCATCCAGGTCATCGCAAATATCAATAGTTTGTTCCTTTTTTATTCCTGAGTGGTATTCCCTGGTAAGGATATATCATAGAGTGTTATGATATGTCCTGTTGAAGGACATTTGGATTGTTTTCAGTTTTTAGCCATTAACTAATAAAGCTGCTATAATCATGTATTCTACAGGTTTTTGTGTGAACATAAATTTTCATTTCTCTGGAATATATGCCTGAAAGTGCACTTGATGGGTTGTATGATAAGCGCATGTTTGGTTTTGTAAGAAAGTGCCATTCTCTTTTCCAGAGTAACAGTACCATTTTACATTTCTATCAGCAATGTATAAGTGATCCAGTTTCTCCTCATCCTTGACAGCATTTGGTGTTATCACTCTTTTTTATTGTAGCCATTCTGATAGGTGTGTGGTACTATCTTGTGGTTTTAACTTGCGTTATTCCTAATGGCTAATGATGTTGAGCATCTTTTCATGTGCATATTTGCCATCTGTAGATTCTATTCATTTTGTTCTTGTTTTTTGCCTACTTTCTGATTGGATTGTTTGTGCTTTTACTGTTGATCTTGGGCATTCTTTATATTTTCTAGATAGAAGTTGTTTGTCAAATATGTGGTATGCAAATATTTTCTCCCAGTCTGTAGTTTTCTCTTTTCATCCTCTTCACAGGTTCTATCAGAGGGAAAGTTTTAAATTCTGATATGGTCCAGTTTATCAGATTTTTCTTCTATGGATTGTGCTTTGGTGTCAAGTCTAAGAATTCTTCGCCTATACCTATCACCCTTTGCCTGTAGCCCCATAGATTTTCTACTGTGTTTTAACCAAAAGTTTTATGGTTTTATTTTACTTTTAAGTCCGTGATTCATTTTGAGTTAATTTTTTTATAAGGTGTGAGGTTTAGGTTGAGCTTCAATTTTTTTTGCCTGTGGGCCCAGTTGCTCCAGTACCATTTATTGAAAAGGTTGTCCTTCCTCCATTGAATTTGGCACCTTTGTCAGAAATCAGTTGGGCATATTTTTGTGGGTCTGTTTCTGGATTTTCTAGTCTGTTCTATTGATCTATATGTGTGTCCGTCTGCCAGTACCACACTCTTCATTAGACTACATGGTAAGCCTTAACAAAATCAGAGTGACTCCTCTCGTCTTACGCTTTGTTTGTAAATTTTAGCTGCTCTAGGTCTTCTGCCTTTCCCTTTAAGCTTTAGAAGAAGCTTGTCTGTGTCTCTAAACACCTTCCTGGGATTTTGATAGGAATTGCATTAAACGTGGATCAATTTGTGGAGAATTGACATCTTCACTACATTGAACTTTCCCATTCTTGAACACAGTATATTTCTCCATTTATTGAGGTCATCTTTGATTTCTTTCATCATCATTTTGTAGTTTTCAGGATACAAATCCTAGGATTTTGTTAGACTTATTCCTAAATATTTCATTTTCTTTGGAGCAATTGTAATTAGTCTCAGTTCTTTCTAGATGAGAAAGTTACTTGTGAGTTTTTATTTTCAAATTTCAAAGCTTATTTTTGTTGTAGTAATTATTTTTATTATATTTATATATAATTTATAATAATTATAAAACCAAGAATGGCTTGATTTTATGTTTCCTCTCAAGTTTTAGGAGTGTTGATTTTGTTAGCTCTAAGCCTCAAAGTTTGGTTGGGAGATCTAAACTGCTTCATTTCTGTTGTGATTGAAATTGTATTGGAATCAACATTTAATATATTATTATGAACCTATTTCTCTCAAATCAATCTTATTTCATCTGTCACACCATACTAACTCTCTTCTGAATGGAGGAGCCTCTGCAACCCACCTGAGGGAAATTATTTTCACTTTTTAGCTTATCTTTTCATATTCCTAAAGCCTTTGGCCCACTGTATATAATTATGTCTTCCATAATCTCAGTAATCAATCCAGAATTTGAAATATTTACTTTTGAATTTGTTAATTTAGTGTGAAATTTAGCTTTTGTTTTCATGCCTCATTCAGTTATTCAGAGTGGACTCCATCCAACACTGAGTTAATCTTTTTTCTTAGAACTCAGTCGATTATAGACAGTACCACTAATTGGGTAAGGGGGAAATCTAGGAGCCCGATTGTTGTTTCATTTTGCAAATTAACTAAAACCTGAGAAAGTCCCGAGTATTCCTTGAGATTGCAGTGAAAGTCTAGTAGTGCTGTCTGTAAGTTCTGTGCTGTTCTTTCCTAAGGATGCCTGTCTGTATGGTGTTTTTTCTGTTTTTCATTTGGCGTAGTTTTTGTTGTAAGAGTCTGTTCTTAAGCTGGAACTTATGGCAGGCAGTTTTGTTTGTTTATAGATTGTGTCATTCCAGGAAGGATTTCAGGGCACAATTCTTATTCTCCTTATGAGTTACATTTTCTTCTTAGGGGAGGGGGAAAAAAGCATTCTTCAGGGTTATCTATAAATAATTGAGCTGGGTAAAACTTCCCTCTGAATATCAACGTGTAAGTTGGATTCAGGCTCATTTTGTTACTTGATGAAAGTAACAGAATGCACACTCTCGGTAATTTAAGAGCACAGTAGTTTAGAAGTGGTTAGAGAAACAAACAACCAACCAAACAAACAAACAACCAAAGGTGTGAGTGGAGACAACCGCCCGAGAGCTGTTTTCCCCCTACCTTGTGCGATGTGGTCTGCCCGATCCTGGGCCGTGTACCAGGGATGAAGAACGCCTTGATGGGGCTGAACTTTCTGAGTTCTTTACAAAGGGGAAGACAGCTAA